TTCTTAACTCTCTTGAGTAAAAGAAACAGGTAGTACTTTCCATGTATAGCCTTTTGTCCTAAATTCACAGGGGAGGTACACGTGTGTAAGTCACAATCCTTACCCATTCTAGAGTTTTATGAGAAGATAAGCAAGTGCAGGAAGATCTCTGATGCAGGGAAGCGTGTGAGGTTGATTCACAGCTGCCATGGATGTTCAAAGGGTTCATTCATTCATCACATGATTATTATGCATGGTTATTTCTTAGGCCCATAGATTCTTAAAAGTCTAGGGAGAGAAACCATCAGTCATATTGAATATTTTAACAATCAGAAATAAACGTTCTAAGGGGACACAAGAAAGAGATCAACTTTGCCCAGGAGGCTTTATGGAGGAGATTATCAGTCTGAGAGAGAGGAGCTTCACAGAGGTTGAGACTTTTAGGGTGAGCTTTTAGGATGAGATAGATTTTGACCAGTGGAGAAAAGTTGAAGATGAAGTGAATAAAGCTATGAAAATGAAAATGCAGAGGACATACTCTGGAACACATGGCCCGTTTGACCAAGGCATAGGAAAGAGCTGGGGTGTGAACATAAATTATAGAATGGAAGGCCGGCCCTGGAGCCATAAAGGCTCAGTGAGGCGCCCAGACTATCTATGATCAAAACAGACCCATGCATCCCCCGGCGCTCGCGGGTCTGTGAGTTAGGCAATCGTGGTGGCCTGGGAACTTCTTGTTTCTAGCCATGTTGTTTGTCTGCAAAAAATGCTTTTGAGAAAGAGGATTTCTGAAAAGTTTCATGTAAGATATGAATGCTTAGTGTAGAAAATATTGGAAAATGGAGAAAAGATGTGAAGGAAATAAAAGTCAGAAGTCCACATCCTGACATGATCACTGTTTAACACCAATATCCTCTTCCATTTTTTTCTTTTTATGCTCTTTTTTCCCCTCTCACCAAAGTTTAGGATTATAGGCCCTATACACATCCTGATTTTTTTCACTGACACGTTCTGAAGATTTCCCTATTGCAAAAGAGGCAGTGGTGTTTTTAAAACAGTATCACAAGATGACTTATTTAGCTCTTTTCCTGGTGTCAAGCAAGTAGATTGCTTCTACTTTTTTGCTGCGCTAAGTAACTCCCTTTGTCACGGATAGTCCAGATTTACATTGGACACTCTTCTAAGCACTACATATATTAACTCATTTAATCCTCACAATGGCATCAGGGCTAAACATGCTGTTTGGATTTCTGGTTTATAGGCAAGGGAAGCACAGAGAGGCTAACTTGCTCAAGTAATTCCATAGAATGGGGTAGAGCCAACCAGATCCTCATCTGCTGTGGAAAAACTGGGTCTAACATGGAAACATTAAGAAGATATGCATTTATAGCTTAATTACCTATAACATCTACAGCCTACAAATATATTTACTATGTAATATGATGTAATATGTAAGTTATATATATATAGTTGTTTTGGAGTAAGGTGTAGATCTTCCTTCATTCTCACAAAGATTCTAATGTCCAGATGGAAAGTGAGTTTATAACCTAGTCAGCAGATCTCTCTTTAGTGGCTCTTTTCTTGAGGGTTCAGATACCCAAGGGACGGATCTCCTAAGAAGGTCCTGCCAAGCAACAGCTCCTCCCATACTTATTCACGGAGATCAAGATCCTGATGAGAATATAGTTCTGGGTTCTATAGCTGTGTTGCATCATGCATTTGGTGAACTGTACTGTACAACTTCGGTGGGATGGGCTCTGCTTTTATTTCTGGAACCACTGGGTTTGATGAAGCTGAGCATCTTACCTATACTAGCATCCCCTGCTTAGCTCATTTAATTATGTAGCAAATATAATGAGTATCAGAGGGTCAGCTGCTGATTTTTTGGAAGATCTACAACTTGTAGATCTCCTGGTAAAATGAATACTGAAAACTTTATATTCCTGTGTCTTTGGATAATTTGATTCACAATTTCCTTGGGTTGTTTGATGACTTCCCCTTCATAAAACACTGAGTAGAATGGAGGGCTCTAGGACAGAGGGGAATTGTTCCATTTTATAAAAAATGATTTCTCTGAGACTCCTATCCCATACCATGTGGCACAAAACAGACCATGGTATGGCATGCTTCTGTCTGTAAGCTTCTTCATCCTCATGCTTAATAGTGCTGCTGGGCACAAAGGAAAAGAATCCTGTTTGTGGAATGAGCCCATCACTATGTAAATAACCCCTGGGAGGAAAGGCATCTCATGCTTCCATAAGGCTTATCAAACCCTTTCTGGAATGAGAGCATGCAAAGAACTGTAAAGACATGATATACTCAGGGAACATTTCGAAAGCCAGGATAGCAGAGGGGAGAGGTGGTGAGAGTCAGATTGTTTAAATGGCCGGCCGTCTGAGATGGTGATCCAAAGGGCCCATCCAGAGTGAGTGAAGGGCGAGGGGCAGAGGAAAAAAGGTGCCTGAGACCGACACTATTTGCTTATTATTTGGCCCAGGATGGAGACTGAGTACTTGTCTATAGCTACAAAACAAAACAAAAAGGAAGAAGAGAGACTTTTGAATCCAATGTGAGGATTTCATAATCATTCCTTTTTTTTCTTGCTAATGTTTGCTTTTACATAATAACAAATCTGTTGATGTCTGCAAAGGATTAGCTGTGGACCCTGCTTCTGGAGCAAAACTCAGACAAGGATTTACTAAATCTTCTAAAAAAGATTAACTCCTAGAGACCAGGTAAGATAAATAATAATAATAATAATAATAACCTCTAATCTGGGTGTTCCTGATCATCGAATGTGTAAAAGATACAGGTAGTAAGCCTTTAAGAGAATGAAACCATAGCAGGCAAACCAAAGAGGAATCTGGGTAAGACTTCAGTTGAGTTAGTAAAACGTGTGCTCTTAAAACATACCCTTTTGTTAAACATATAGTTTGAAAATGACATTCAGCTTCTGATGGGGCTTAACAGGAAAGGGGAATGAGTCCTCATTTTGCCCTGGAAGCTACCACTGTGTCCCTTTTTCCAAACACATTTCCCTCAAAAGGGACAGTTCCCTGAGATAGATAGTGAATATCAGGGCTGCTGTAGAGAATTTTTTTCTTGATATTGTGAATAGTTTGTTAAAACAATTAAAAATGTAAAGATGCCTATATTATTTAACTTTCTCAGTGTGGAAACAATGAAGTTCTAAAGTAAATGCCTTTTATTGTTTTCAGACTGTCTCCCTTGAACGCCTCAGCCTGGATGGCTATGCACCCAGGAATGCCACCTAAGGGGAAGGAAAGGCAGATGGCTGTTTATAAGCCTACAGCTCTTCTTGAGAAATCATGGAGAACAAGTAAAAACCAGATTCACCTTTTCTTCCTCATTACTCCCTTTACAATTTGCAAAACAATATTAAACAACACATCAATCTGTATGACAGTGGTTGACACTTTTTTTCATTACATTTAATAGGTTTTTAAAGAAATGTTGCTTTGATGTTAGAACCTTTTACTAAAACAGTCTTTGGAGTTTTACTATCATTATTTACTTAGCTAGGAAAATAGTGTTTTACCTAGCTTCAGTCTATGTAACATAAAATCCTGTTTTTAATATTTGGTTCTAATGAACTTTAATCAGCAACTGCTCCTATTTTAAGTGTCCATCTGTATACCATGAAGAATTGTCTCACAGCAGTGCACATGGCTTGTGGGGAAACACTGACATGGAGGGATGGTTAGGATAACCCTCCCCTCCTGTAGGAAGGATGCTTTTAAGTGGACTCAGGCTATTTATTTATCATGGCTGAATCAGAAGCCAGCTGGTCATTCCACCACTGGTTTATATGGCTCTGTTGGGAGGTGGTGTCTCAACTCTTCCTTCTTTTTGCTGTCCTCAGGGTAAAGAAACTTTTTGTAGAGTCCTTTATACTTATGCTTTTTCATGTAAGAACTTGTATTGTTTTCCTTAACCCCAGGGAATTTCAGTTGGGAATTAGGCCATTTTTCCTGTCTAAATTTAAGCAGGAGAATACCAACCTACTCCCACATGCAGTGCAGCAACCACAACCACCTGAAGCTCTTTGGATCTGTATTTTGGGAACTAATGCTGTTTAATGCTCAGGGAAATACTTGTCTTGGAACAGACTGAAGACTACTAAGCCACATAAAAGTATTTGTAGACGCTTCTATGAATGGATCTTGGGAGATTTTGCTAAGGTGAGCCAGAACTCACTCACTCCTTATGCTCTGGCAGATCACCTTCTCTCGGAGAGGTAAGAGCGGATATAGGAATGGAGGTAGTTATCCCAGGGGATTTCTTTGAAGAGGTAACCTTTATCCTTTTGTCTCCTTTCCTACCCCCAGCTTAAACTGTACATTAAGGCTCAACCACATCAGTTCCACATACTAAAACCAAGCCCCAGGCCACTTGTCTGCTGCTTGTCATGGTCCTCGGCATCACTGGTAAGGGCTGTGGGCCAGGGTTTCTCACATTGACCAATAGGCTTCTTCGATGGGCACAGGTACTCAAGGCTTCCTTCATTCCACCCACCCCCACCCTCATTAGAGGTGGGGAAAAAAAAAAAAAAAACAGGTATGACAGATTCAAGGAGTTCTGTAGAAATACGTTCTGAAGAAATCCCAATAAGGAATAGGCAAATTTCTAATTTGTACTAAAAATTAATGGTAAGGACAGTTCTAAAACTGGAACATGGTAGCCCAGGGTAGACTAAAGACTCCAGTAGCCAGTACTCTGACATTAAACATCAGAAATAAATTACATAATATTATGGAAAGATCCAAATGTTGTATCAGCAATTTTTAGAAATAAATAATATTATTAGGGAGCTTCCACCTTAAATCCTAATTTACTCAAAACTAATACATGCTGCATAAAAGAAGAGTAGTTTCTGGGGGGGGAAGTAACAACCAGGAGGGGAGCATGAGGGAGCTGGGGAGGGAGCTGGAAGTGGTTTAATCTCCATATGCACGCTTACACGGGTATAGTTGTATATAAAAATCAGTCAAGTCAGTATGCAGGATTTGTAGAGTTTATTATATGTAAGATATATCTTCATATAGAAAGCCTCTAAACACAAAAGACAAAGGAGCTTTAAAAAAGGTTAGGTTTTATATTTTTAAAACTCATTAGATACCAAATTCAAGACATAGATTACATTGCAAATGTTAACCTTTTTGAATAAAACTAATATTGACTTAAATGATGAATTTAAAAATGCATTTATTGGTGATTAAAAATAATACTTAAGCAGAGTAGTATTTTAAGCCAGACAGAGCAAAGAAAATTCTTGTTTAATATATATATATATTTTAAAATTCCAGTAATAGTTTCTTAAATTCCTGTTAAAAAATATAATCAATATTAAAGTCAGCAAAATGCTTTTTTTGACTGACGCCTGGATTATTTTACCACTTAACCTGGTTACACAGTGATACATATTTTTTTCCTGTCAGATGTAACTGACAACCAGTTTAGTCTTTAAGATAAATGAAGTGATAACTCACATTGTAGCATCTTGTGGAAAATATTCAAACTACATTTAAAATGCTTTTTTAAAATGGAGACTATTATTCCACAAGAAATTGTTTCTGTAAAACTACAGGTTGGCTATGGCAATAGTAACTAAACTACATCCAACCCTGAAGGTAGAAAAATCCCTGAAAAGAAATACACAGCCTAGTTATAATATGCAATATAAAGGTTATTTTCTTATTTTAAAAATTCTCCCATTTTGGAGAAATCCAAACCTTTCCATAGTTCCCTTACTAGGCAGTGCCACATAAAATTAGTTAACATTATTATGATCATGGCTTACGATTAAATTCAATTTGACAAACACGTATATATAGCAGCCCTCGTTTGGATGTCGGTTATGACAATATTTGCAGTTCCATTAAAGAATACTTGCTTATTAAATTTGGTACAAAGCATGAACACTCAGGACAGATTGGCACAATACATGCAGTTCGAGAACTCTTCTCATCTCAAGCCAGTCATCACTGAATAAGCCATATTCCCAGTCCTGCTTTCCAAATCTTTCCTTGTATTATTATAACTGATGTTTAAAATGCTTCTTAAAACACCTTCCAGAATAAGAAAAGTATGCTTTGAAAACCAGTCATCTGAATGCATGATGGAAATGAGGCAGGATGGCAGAGCCAGTGCCAGCTGGGAAAACATGGGGGATGGGAGGAAGGGGGAGCTGACCCAGGCTCATGGTGCTCATGGCTAGTGAGGGATCTTGTTGCTGCTGCCCCAGACAGCCTAACCTGTGGGGCAGAGACTCCCCAGGCCCCAGGGTGAGAGAGCTATTCCCAAAGGCATTTTGGGTAGCAGGCGGGGGCAGCTGCCAGAAGCCCAACAGGGGGGAAATGTCCAAAGAGGCAGGTATTGTTAGGTTCACAGCATCCGCAGTTAGCTCCTTGGGCAGGTTTACTTTACCAGCACTTCCCTTAGCCAGATCAAAACCTGGGGTGAGCTTGTGAGGTGACTGAGGCTCTTGCAGAGGCAAGTCCTCAAGCAAATTGATATTGCAAAATCCTTTCGTATCTGTTTTGAGGGGCAGGCTTGCAAGTGGGGAGTATGAGGTAGAACTGGTGTTGTACTTGTGATTCTGGAGGGGCGGGGGAGGAGAGCTAGGAGCTGTTACAGGGTGGAGGGGGACCAGGGGCTCTGGCAGCGGTTGTACAGGCTGGGCGGTTTGATCCGCGGGGTTGTGGGGGTGGCTGTGTACCTCAGCTGGCAAGCTACTTGCAAGCCCGTTCTGTGCAGGAGCTCCTATAGGGAAAGGAGACAGCGGGGCAGCCTTCAATTGAAACTGGGGAGAGATGGAGTGGAAGGTGCTCAGAAGATCTCCAGACTGCAGACTCTCCTTCATCAGCTCCTGTGAGTGTGTCTTCTTGGTATGTCGAGTGAGGTGGTCTTTGCGCCCAAATCTCTGGGCACAGAACTGGCACAGGAAGTCCTTGCAGCCGGTGTGGACCACCAGGTGGCGCCGCACGTCCTTCCGGGTGTAGAAGCATCTCTCACAGTGGTCGCACTGGTGCTTCTTTTCCTTGGTTCCGCTCGGGGGCTTTTCCTCAGCATGGGCTTTGAGGTGGTCTAGCAGCACTTCTGTGCTCCCTAGCTCCAGGGCACAGACCCCACAGGTGAGGTCGCCGCTGCTGGCCGCATGGAGGGCCAGGTGCCTCTTGTAGCCCAGCATGGTGTTGTACTTCTTCCCACACTCCTCACACCCAAAGGCCATCTTGTTGGGGTCATGAGTTTGGAGGTGGTTCTTCAGGTGGTCTTTCCGGTTGAATGTCTTCTCACAGTGAGCACACTGGTGAGATTTCTGGGGCGAATGGGTAGCCATGTGCCTAGGAGCAGAAGGAAAAATTTCATAATAGACTCAGTTTGTTTTAGTAGTCAAATGTGTGGGGATGCTATTATTAAAATGTTAATGGCTTTTCTAGGTGCTGGCACAAATTTTCATTTAAGAGAGAGCTTTTCTGTGTTTTCCAGATTCTACAGACACACAACTTTATAATCTAAAAAAAAAAAAAAAAGGCATTAGAGGTCTAATAGTTTTCAAACCTGTAAAAAAAATATTCTTTGAGAACCTATCTTCCTCATCTATACAAAGATTTCTAGACAAACACATTTAAAAATAGGTAATTTTTCAAGAAGGCTCTTTGGAAATTACTGCATTTTCAAAAGTGACCCAATTTACCTTCTATATAGAACCCCATGCCCCCCTTATACCTCCTTCCCAGATTTTAGGTTTCTATTCCTAAGTATAACTCCTGCTTGGTCTTTACCAATTGAGGCAAAAAGTTCAGGCCACAGAAATAACATTGAAAATTTTATCCGTATTCTCAGAGAGTGTTCACTTGGACCCAGAGTACCACCCACCACCTGTGCTTGGAGCGTGAGATCCAGGAGATCCTTACGCTTCAGTCTCGGGTCTTCTAGTTAGTACTTTTCTATCCGCTCTCATCTCAGAGGTGTGCAGCCCCTGGCTCCAGAGGCTCTAAAGACAATACCTAAAAGAGTGAACTGTCAAAATGGATGTGAAGCAACCTATGTTGTACCTGCAAGCCACAAGTTATAATTATGGACACTGTTTTGGAAGGAAAACTTACAGGACTTGGCATTTTATATGATACACTTACTTACTAAAATGGACATTTTTAAAGTTTTAAGGATGACTAAAGTTGTAATTGAACTTGGGATTTCCTCCTATCACTGAGTCTTTAAAAACCAAAAGAGTTTAGATTTTAGGAAACCAGTGGAACTACAACAAAAAATGGAACCGTGATGGTTTTCCAGAATTGATTTGTGCTTTACAGATATAAAACAGGTATTCTGAAATTTCAGATCAACTAGGATGACTATGGCTTGTCCTGGAAGCTCAAAGAAAAACTTTCAACTGTTGTAGGAGCTTAGCCCTTATAGAAAAAGTCCTTTTGAACTGCCAATGAAATTACCAGTGACCTTCAGGAAGTAGGCTGATCTTGAAGAACTGGAGATGGGGCTGCATGCCTCTGAGATGCAATTGAACTTGTGGCTTTGGATACAAAAGAATTCCTAACAACTCATTTCTGTAAGAAAAGGATTTAAGTCAAAAGTGTACTAATTATACCTTTCACCCAACCTTCTACCCTAGCTTGTCCATTCCTTTTCCTTTGCTAGAGGTAGAATTGGTAAGGGATCTACAGTAGCCAGTTCAAAAATATAATGAATTAAGCCAAACTGTCATTTCCTTAAAAATAAAGCAAAACCGGGGCACCTCGGTGGTGCAGTTAAATGTCTGCCTTTGGCTCAGGTCATGATCACAGGGTCCTGGGATTGAGCCCTGCATCAGGCTCCCTGCTTAGCAGGGAGTCTGCTTCTCCCTCTCCCTCTGCCTGCTTGTGCTCTGTCACTCTCAAAATAAAAAAAAAAATTAAAAAAATAAACCAAAACCTTGTATCTCTGCCTCTTTCCCTTTAAAAAAAAAAAAAAAATTAGCTGACTCTTTGCAGGGCATAAAAAGAAAAGAAGTCCCTATCCCTTCCCTCCATGACACCAGAGCTCAACAAACACAGGGATAGGTATGGTACAAACAATGTGGAGGGACAGGAACCAGTGTTCTGGGCATCGGAGAGATGGGAAAGGATGCTGTGGCTCCAAGTCCCATGCATACTGAAATACAGTGCAGATGGTGTTTACCAAGCCTCATTAGAGGGCAAACAACCCCATTCTCATACCAGATAGCCACAGATACATCATCAGGAATAGATGTGAGGGGGGAACCATCTACAAGCTGGGCATTTAAACGATTTTTGATTTGGTCCAGTACTAGTGAATAGGCCCCCCAGAGCTCTGCCCTGGCTCTTCTATTCATGCCTCTCTTTTTTCTTCTTTGTGGAGGACTTTGATCTGACTAGATTGCATTTATTGTCCATGGATAAATAGATCAATGCCAAGGTAACAACTCTGGACCCTCCTACTCCTGACTACCTGTGAGAAAGGCACAGATTGACCAAATTCTACATGAGCAATAATACCAGCCGCCATTCCTCTGCATTTTTGGCTCTCTCCTTTGACTGGCATCCAATTCTTTCCCCTTTCAACTGATCCTTGACTCATGCAACAACCTCAATCTAGAACACAATCAGCTTATAGCTGAAATTACTTCAACAACTGGTTTCCTTCCCTCAACTTCTCTTCTTGCCTCACAACCCGTGAAACCACCAGTTTCAGTCTGTGCTTTAGGCAGCACCAAGGGTGGCGCCTGGGCTGTGCCCACGATCTCAGAATTCCTCAGGGGTCCCTGCTGGCAGTAAGACTTCCCACCGGCCTTGCCAAATCAGCTTGCTTTCTTGCCTTTTGCTGTTTCCACCTGCTTTCCCCATTTGCTGTCTTCTCTAGTTAAGCAAGTTTTTTTCTCCCACCTCTGCTTATAAAATGGAGCTTATGTTGCAACTGAGGGGAATTGGGAGGAAATGCTGCCCGTTGTAAAAGCTACAAACCCAAAGCTGAGAGCAACCCCACCATCTCTCCTCTCTTCTATTCTGTTTCAGACCTGCGGTTTCAGGCCGAGGCTCGCCAGGCTGGCCGCTGCGCCTGGGCAGGAGGTTCTTGCCCAAAGCGCACTGCTTGCCGTTCCCACCTCACTTCACACCCTTCCCTGGGCAAGTTGTTTCCCTTCCTCAGAGCTACCACCTCTGAAACAAATGGCTTAAGACGTTTTCCGTGCTCTCTGCTGGGTAATCCCGCCTAATTCCTGTCACTCCAATCATCTGCCAGCTCCACTGTCTTCTCCAAATCTACCTCATCCCTGTCTCAATCTTTCTTCCCTGCTGTCACATCCTCGCCACGGGCTGACCACAGCAAACACGGCTTTCAGCACATGGGTCAGAATTCCTACATGCACAGAAGCAGCTTGTTGCAAAACAGGAAGGCTTTGCAGCAAAATCTGTGCACACAGTAGGCACTCATACTTACATATCTGTGGAAACTAAACATCGGCCTATGTACAGAACCCATTTGAATTTTAAAATACCTATGTATTTATAGGCTCATTTTAAAAACTAGATCATATTACAATTATCTATGACAGTGGTATTCTAAAGGGCCAGGAGCATAACTTAGATCTTTTCAAAACTTTCAGGTGCCTTCCTCCAAGGGCACTCCAAGATTTAATGATAATGTGGTCCATGCTAATACCACTCAGAGGGAAATCCTCTCTGGCCAGATTTGGACTCTCACCTGTGGTAGTCTGAAAGTTGCAGGTCTGAAGTTCACATCATGAAGATGAAAGGCACACGACAGATTTCCCTTAACCAGGTGTCCAAAGTAGCACACAGTAGTGGGGATTCTGCGTGCGGATCTCACACACACCACACAACATTCATGCTCAATGATCCTGCTCAGGACTAGTGTGCAAATGAGGGATGTTACATAGGTTTTGTCTTTTCTAGGATATGAAAACCTTTGCAGGCAGAAACTATAGCTCATATATTCATTTCCCTCATGGAAGTGAGCACCTAACTGTCGTTTAAGAAATCAGACTAAATGTACTAAGGACTGGTCTGCTAAAACAGTGGTTTTTATCCTTCTGTGTATCATGGATGCCTTTGAAAATCCAATTAAATGCATATCCTCAACACCTGTTTACCCAACAATTCTACTTGTTTGGCCAGACAGACTGCTCCTAAGTTGAGAAGAGGCTCCGTAAGCTGATGCTTGCGAGACGTTCCCTCCTCTCCAGCCTCACTGTCAGGACCTGGACTGTGATCCTACTTCACATGCCTCTACTGTATGCCTCCTCTCTCTTCTCCAAATTACTATGAATCATCTTTCTAACATACCAGTCCAAATCCTGTTTTGCACTACTTAGACTCAGTAGAATAAATAAACCCTTTAGGACAGCAGATAAGCCTGTTTGGACAGACTTCCTTTTGCCTCCAGTGGAGCCTCACCCGGTCCCTCCTCCACCACTACCCTCTGTACTTGTGTGCTTTAAGGTCAAGGCTTCGGGCTTCCCCAGAACCTCTTCTCCGTCCACCTTCTGGTCACTCTTTAGGTCACAGCCCAAGACTACCTGTCTGAGAAGCCTTGCCAGCACTCAAGTCCTGGGGAACAGCTCCCTACACCTGTGTAGCTTTGTCAAAGAACTTGCATCGAATTTTCATTGTGTTTGCATGACTCGCTGTCCAGCATGGGTCTTTCTGTCCTGTTTTTATGCCTGGCCTATCACAAGACCACAGGAAATGCTGGTTGAAAGAATGAACTGATGCTACATGCAAAACTGTCACAGAAAACCACAGTAAGCAGTGGCGTTAAGGGCTAACGTGCATCCACAACCTGCATCCACTTTCCCTCACAGTGTCTGCTCAGAGGGCTACCTAAGCCATTTCAAGGTATGTGTAAAAGTGCATACCTTTTCTAGAGCCTCTCACCTCATTAATTTATATCTGGAAATGAAGGCTTTGCCACAGTCTGGCTGCAAGCACTTGTAAGGTCGCTCCCTGGAGTGGGAATAATTGTGGATAGTGAACTTCTCCAGGGTGAGGAACGTCTTGCCACATAATTGGCAGGGATAGGTGGCCATGGGCTTTACTTCTCACACCTTCCTTTTCAGATGCGCTGACCAAATGCTGTGCCATTTAAGCACAAATGGAAGGATGGTGCTGAGCACATGAGCGGAGCCACGACAGCCAAAACTCCAGACCAGGGGAGAGGCCGCGTCGTGGTCCTGGGCCTGGTTCTACCCAGATATGGGCCTCTCAGTTACCATGAGCTTTGCTTCCTGCTTTCCCACATCCCAACTTATATATGCAGTCTCGGGCTGGGAGGAGAATGTCGGAGGCGCAGGTGAGGGTCCAAGAGCAGAAAGGTAATCTGCATCACTAGGCGGGCACGTGCTCCAGATCACCAGGCCATCTGCGGAGAGAAGAGGAACAGAGGAACAGTTTTCTTGCATTAGCCTTTGGAGACCAGTGCTCCTCCTTCCCTGCCAGCTCAGCACCAGTGACCCAGAACCACCAGGTTCCTTTCAGAGGCTCCAGTGTGGCCCCCGGGTCTCCCTCCTCCCCGTGTGCTTCCACAGGTCCTTCTGCACGGAAGTCCTGAGCGGCGGGGAAGCCAGCATAGTGTTGGGACATCTTGGGACAGCACACGAAGCTTGTGTCCCCTTCAACAGACTGTTTCCATACAGACGGTATTAGCTACTTCAGATCCTGACTTCAGGTCAGTGGGAGACTCGGTCGACCAATACAAAGGAAAAAAAAAAAAAAAAAAAACCTCCCCTGTGCGTTCCAGTGTTTTACTGGTACAGACGAAAATCATCTCTGCTTATTCAAACCATGGGCTATTCCTCTTCCCTCGTTGTTAGCATAACATACACTGCTTATCACACCTGTTTAAACTTCCATGGGATGAGATGAAATAATTTGTATACATCCAAGTTAATTTGTTTGCAAGGTTACCAGGCTGAAGGTCTCAACTCTAGGATGCCAACAAAATGTGAAAAAAGCTAGTTTAGCTCACGGATGCGGGGCCTGCGGAGGGGAGACCCGGTATTCCCATGGAAACAAGGGCAGCTCAGGCTGCGGTCTGAGGTGTAGTTAGCATCCTCTAGTGAGCTGTTCTCCTAATCTCTTCCCCTTTGCTATATGGGGACATTCCCTCATTCCCCATCCCTGCCCTGGAGGGCCAACTGCTTGTTCCCAGGCCACTTCCAGGAGGTGGGCCTGCAGCCGCCTCAATCTCAACCTGTCTCACCACCCTTCCAACCCCGACAAGTCCCCCAAGGCCGGGCCCTTTTGCTTCTAGCTGCAGACCATCTTAAGATGAGGCCAGTGTGGCAGGCAGTCCTGAACGAGGCAGTAAAAGCCTGGCTACCTAGAATCCTGTGCTTTTCTAGAGAGTAATTCTCAGGCAAGTAAATGCTAACCTTCCGTGTGTAAAAAAAAAAAAAAAAAAAAAAATTAGAGTACTATATGTTTACATTAAACACCCTGGAGTAGCTTTTGTATGCAGCCCAGCCTTTTCTGAGCTTTGCCAAGGAAGCAGAGCCCTCCTGGTGAAGGGACCAATCACAGCAGGTCATCAAGTGCCTGTTTCCCGCAGGCATTCAATGACTGCCCAGTCTTTAGAGTGGCTCCGTATTGTTAAAAGTTAATTTTACTTACCTTTTCACAGTTACTTTCTGATTGGAAAAGTGGAGTCTAGCTAGGTGCAATTTTATTGTACTAACAGTTGAAACATCTTTAAACACACCGGCTCAGAGCACATGTACACAGAGAAACTGACATTCTTTTTCTAATGGCCAAAAACTGCAGCAAACTTCTTGTGTTCCTCATCAACTAGCTCAGATGTTTTTAGTGTCTGCTCAGAGTTCCCCAGGAGCCAGCCCAAGGGAGAGACCCCTCCCTGAGGTGCCCCACCCGCCTGGAACCCTCAGAGCCAATGTGCGCACTTGGACTTGAACTTTCAGCACCGATCCAAAGCTGGGCACGTGGGCGTTCTCAGCCAGCATCTTGGCACCAAACCTTCCAACGGCAGCACGCACCTACCTTGGTCCTCTGTCACCAAGTCCGACTCGAACTGAGCCCCTCTCCCCAACTCCTTGTGCCCTCACAGTATTGCCATTCATGCCCAACGCCCTCCTCTGAGGCCTCCCCAACAACTGTGGCCACAGACAAAATGACTCCTTCTAGGAACACTATCCCGTGTGGCCGAGTTTTTGCTGCCAGGTCTGATGATGTGTCCTACTTCTCATCGGGCCCAAGTCTGGCCGTAATACTGGCCCAGCTATAAAAGCCATAGAATTTATCATCGTCATTGAAAATACTTATTCACTTGAAATTGCTGTGTTCTTTCTAGGTCTATCAAAAAAGATGAAAATATACACATGGAATGAAGTTTAAAATTCCTCTTTTCTTTGTTCTCATTATAGCTGAATTCAAAATAGCACCAGTCCGTCAGGAGAAGAGTTGGCTTGACGGGGGGATTTTCTCTCCCTTCCATCAATCCCCTGCATAGACACTTCTTCCAACTTCGCTCACTAAATTCATTCTCCCCACTCCTGCTTTCTGAGAGATGACCAGTATGTCCAAGAGAACTTTCTGTGATGACAGAAATGTCACATAGCTTATGGCTACTAAACACTCAAAATGTGACGCTGAGAAACTGAACTTTGTGTTAAAATAGCTCCATGTGGCTAGTGGCTGCTGTACCAGGTAGCAGAGCTCAGTTTCCTGCTTGAGAGGGAGAGGAGGGCAAGGTTCTGCTTGCCTTTAGACCCAGCTGTGCTACTGATTCACCCTCCGGTGTTTCCCTGAAACATGGGACGGTTTATGTAGACCGAGTCCCTTGCTCTATGAATGCCGGGTAAGGATTCCCCAGTTCAAATTCTAGTTTGCCCATTTGTTGGCTACATCTTGAGTGTCTTTCCTCATTTGTGACACCACCTGATGCATATAGTGGCTGTTGGGGACCACCAACTGGAACAACAGGGATCTGAAATACACGGGAATCTAAAAACACACCACACAAATATAGGTTGTTTATGAAACACTGGTATTAAAAGTAGAAGCTGTCAGCTGCACAACTGGCACAGGGTCCTAGCCACTCAGTTATGGATACGAGAGAAAAACACGTTCTCTCCCACTACACAACCACCATCCGTTATTCACAGTGGGAGAAACACACGTGCTCACAAATGCAGAAAAGACCCATGACACTACAGGTAAAAATTAGTATTGTTTTTCAACAGATACCAACTTTGGCTCATAGCTTACCAACACACCAAGAATACAAAGGAAAAGTAAGATCTACTCAATTTAGACAAAAAAAAAAAAAAAAAAAGAAAAGAAAAAGGAAGAAAGTGCCTGCCCTTGACCACTAAATAAAATTTTCCCAGATCCACTTTCCAGCCAATTCCCTAGACTCCAAAGTCTAACAGTCATGGACATCATTACCTACATTTTCCTTGGCTTGGCCCTTCAAAGATGGTGGGTATATAATCGGGGATTTTTAGACACGGCATATTTTATTTAAACGTGACACACATTTCCTTCCTGTGCTCCCCGTGGAACTTTCAAAGAACAAATGTCATTAAAGCATTTTTATACATATTTTACTTATTTCATGAATGTCTTTTCCCAAAACTGTGTGTGTTTTAGGTCTGTGTGTTAAATACACCTAGCCCAACACTAAGTGCAAAGTTGGTCCTCAGATGCTGAATTGAATTAATCTGAAAATAACACTCTTTAATTTCTTCAGTAAGTCTTTTTTAATGATGAATTCAAATTCACAAATGGTTTTACGGTTCCATTCACCATAACTGTTATTTCATTAATGTGGACTTTCAAATATAAATATTTACACTGTTTTCATGATATTATCACAAACTCCTATAAAAATAGTCTGTCTCAACAGACTATAAATTCATTGTGGCTGAGGATCAAAGCTCAGCTGTTTTTAAAAAAATAAATGGTGTGGATAATACAACGTCCCCCATCACCACGTACATGACCAGCCCTGGCTGGCTGCCGCCGATTCCAATCTTTGGTTGAAACCTGATGCGCTTTCTGGCCACATCCTTAAAACAGACTCAGTATTCACTTTCTATTATCTGGCAGACCACCAACAATCCTAACAGAGAATTGACAAAGGGATGGTCCTGATGATAACTAGTCTATTCTGTGACATACAGATTGCATTTGAGTCTTAAATACGGTAATATTTTAACACCTGTCACCCTGGAAAGATAGTAAGTCTTCCCCCAAAACATCTCAGGACATAATTTTCAATCCCCTTGATTCTAAAAATACTGAGTGAGTGATACAGATCTGCCAGTATGCCAAAGAAGGCTTGTGCCATCTGCTTCATTCTGTTCATACTGATTATTTTGGGGATGAGTGAGGATCAGATTGGAATAAGAACATATATATATGGCAACAGCTAGGAAAGGCTGTGTGCCCTGAGAGCGGGTGGTATATGATGGTAGAGGTCAGAGCACAAGTGTAGTTCTAGGATGTCCCCAGTGCTGCGTAACACAATCAGCTAATGGGGAACGACAAATGTTCTACGGCATTCTCAAAATAAACTATGACTTCTGGCTTCTATTTCCATTGTGCCCAGTGACACAATGCAAGACCCATTTCTGATAGGAAACTGAATTTCCATTTTTAATCTTCCAACATTGATACTCGAAGATTTTTTTGACTCCATTCATCACCATTTCTTGTAGATAAGAAGGTTCTGCTCCAAACATTTCCCTGTGTCTCATACTCCCGTAATTTGGGATTGTTTTTCTATACATATGTTAAAAGCCAGTTTTAAAAGGGCCTCTATCAAGTTTCTGTTTACTTCTTATACTCACGAAATATGAAACAGTCAATCATGGAGCAGGGTGGGGTAAGTTCATTGCTCATTTGGCTCTAGGAGCCCCCTAGAGAGGGTGCTTCTCTTAGTATCAGTTCTTTGGAGGACATTGGTAGCAAGTTTCCAACATCAACAAAACTACCCAGAAACATCAGCAAGGTAAAGATGATGTTTCTCAGAACCTCGAGGTAGTTGTTTCTTATTACACATATGCATTGAAAAATTTGGTACGTATTGCATCAGAGTGAGTGTGGCAGATGATTTGGGACTCAGTGTATGTCTAATCAGCAAAACAGGTGCTCCCAGGGCAGGACTAACTTGGTTGAGGATGACAGATGTGAGGCCTTGATAAGTACCTTACCAGATGGCTGTGGCTAGGTTTTCACTCTTAACTTAGAGCAGGGGGTTCATAAGTGGCTGTGAATTCTCTGAAATTCTGTGCAACATTAGGAGGCATGAATATTGGAGTTCTTGGACCAAAGCTTGCTTCAGATTTTCTAAGGAGTCCAAGATTTAAACAGGTTAAAGGCCACTGACTTAGATGAAAACAG